TGATAAAATGATTGTTTCATTTCAGTAACCAAACACTACTTGAAAGTACAAGCTTGAAAATAGTATCCTCCCATGGAAATGTAAGACCAGTGGGGCCGTTTTTTCAAAAATAAAATTAACCATTTCACCTAAACTCTGTTAACAGGGGCTTACTGAAAGATTGCAGAAAAAATAAAACAGAAAACAAAAAACGAAATACAATTCAAAACAGGGTATTTGCATTCGTTCACTTTGTATATCCCAAATACAGTTTGTCTAACCTCTTAATCATTATATAAGATTAAGAAGGGAAAACTTGGAGAGTACTCCTATCAAAGATTCACATTTTTTGGTATTTGTTTATGGTTTATAGATCCATTTCTCAATAATCTGAGTACTTTTCCTTATGCAACAACAACAATAGGAGAGAAAAAAAAAAAAGGTTAAATGTGACAGAATATGTATATGTGTGTGTATGTATGTATGTATGTATTTGCATATAAGTAACAAAAATGATTTTCAGGAAAGAAGTAGAAGTATGCAACATGTATCAACTCTAAATAACCCAACCTTGATCAAATGAGAAAGAAAAACATTAAAAAAAAAAAGAAAAGGAAAAAAGAAAAAGAAAAAGAAAACAGAGAAACTACCTTTGGATCTTGATGAGAGAGAGACCAAGCAAAGAGCTGGGAGGATTGAGAGCAGTTTTACGTGATATTGGCACGGCTCAATCAAAAAGGAGAGCCCAATATTTTGAGCACTACTTTCTTATTGAACCGCACCAATATCCCGTTCAAATGATCTATACTCGCGACTGCCAAAAAAGCAACAAAAGTAAAATACAAAAAAGAAAAACTTGTCATAACCCAAAAGAAAATACATGTTGTTTGTGTACAAAGTTAGAAATAAAGCACTCAACACACATCTCATGTAACTGAGAAATCAAGAATGAGACTTGAAATGGTGCAAAAAGAATATTTGTGAGGAGGGTGAGAGGAGAGGAGGAAGAGAGGGGTTATGTAGGAAAGGAGAGGAGGGGCAAATGGCAAAGTCTGCTAATTATGGGAAGATGATAAAGAGATGGTGGTGTTTGTGGTGGTGTGGGTATTGAAGAAGTAGGCATTAAATTCTGCAACTACCAAACAACAAAGGTAGTTGGAATATTAATTAAACAAGGTACAAGAATCCTGAAAAAGCTCATGGAGACAAATCTTGAGCTTTTATTTCTTCATTTATTGTTTTATGGCGGGAGGCAGAGCATGTTGGTTTTTGTTCAATCCTTGCATTTAATCTCTCTTATGCCATCGCCACTCATAAATATTGAGTGTAACAGTGATACCATCCCATGTATTGTGATAATATTATACAATCATAAAATATGTAATATTATCACAAAAATGGTAATTTTATTTATGAATCGCAAATTGTCGTAATATTACTAAAAAAATATGTAATATTTCACAAAATTACGTAATATGTACCCAAAAAATGTATAACAAGGTGCATAGGATATACATCTTACAAAACAGATGGATTCTCCAAAGATGTATGCCAACTAGACAACACACAAAAACATTCAACACAGGAAAAATTAGAATAAATTAAACTAATCTCTTTCGAGATTTAGAAAAAAATACATTGAGTCTTATAAATTTGACATAATTACACTAGTTTTCATAATATCTTCACATTATTTGTATGGATAGAAAAATGATATTATCATTTTGTTTACATTAAAATATATATTTTTTATTATTTATCTATGTATCTACACATTATTTGTATTAATTTTGATCATTTTAATTTTAATGAAAAAGTGATCGGTATAATTATATCAAACTAGTAAGACTTACTATATATTTTTTAAAAAATTTAAGAATGACCAATGTAATTTACCTAAAAAGAATATTAGAAAATACTTAAATTTCTGTAGTTGGTAGTTTGATGCATTTAACCACACAACACATGTTGGTATGACAGACCTAAAAAATGAATTTGCAGAGATGTCACTATAAGAAGTGGCAAAGCAGTATGGTTTTTCATAAATAATAAATTGTTGAATTGAAGAGACATTTAAGAACCCCACCTTCTTAAATAGGGAAGGGGCTAGAAAGAAGTAAAACTAAAAGGAATAATTTTGAAGAGAGAAAAACACGACCAGTTTGGCCATTACAAATTTTAGTTGCTTCCTTCCCCCTCTTTTCTTGCTAACAGGTACTATTTATTTATTTATTTATTCATTTTTTAAGACATTATGAAAAAATATTCAAGGTTTGACATTGGTGACAAATCAAATTATTTCAATTTTAATTTTAAAATTTTAAAATGATATTAATTCTAACAATTTGTTTGTATTATTTAGTTATAATTAAGAGAGAAGGGAAAATTTAGACAATTTAACCACTTTTATTTCCCTTTATTATTGTTGATAGTCACCTCACACTCTTAGCTTACCGTCATCTATCACCACCCCTCGTCTTCTCCAATCTATTGCCATCCTTCTATCGATTTTTCCCCTCCACTACTACCTTTCTTCCTTCCTCAACAGATTGCTGCCCCTCTTATTCCTTCCCCAATTCATGGCCGATGTCTTCGTTCAACATCATCGACAGAAAGTTATTAAATTATCTAAATTGCTCCTATTTCGTTAGTTAGCTAACATATGGTTATAATTGATACATATTTAAAAGTTTGAGGGTTTAAATTAAAATAATTAAAATATTAGAGTTTGATTTGTTATTTGCGTCAAATCTTAAGATATATATATATATATATATATATTTTTTTTTAAAAAAAAGAAAAAAATCTTTTCATGATACATGTCACCACACCAATTTAATCATTGTTTGTAATTGACCATACAATTGAATTTTTGATGTACGGAAGCGTGTTGGAAAGAAGAGCAAATAAGAAGATCAAATAACGAACAATTATGAACGAATCCAAACTAGAGATACTCTGTTTAAAAACAAAGTTGGTATCTCTCCAACTTTGGTGGCTTGAGCTTGCATATGATTGGGTGGTCCTCCTCTTGGTGCCAACCTAGTTGGGATTTGGAGGTTCACTATGATGTTTTTTGCTCTTGTTTTGCTTTATTGATGTATTCATGTGTATTGCGCTTTGTTTTCATCAATAAAGTTTATTTTTGTGGATCAAAAATATATATATATATATATATATTTGAGAAAGCTCTCAATTTTTATTAATGAAATATCAACTTCAACTCCTCTAGCCCTGAGGCTTACAACTTTATTTATAGGGTAAATAACACTTACACCCCCTAAAGTTTGGATTTAATGCATATCACCCCTTGATGTTTGAGAAGTTACACTAACCCCTGTCATTGCAATTATGTAAACGGAATGAAGACATTAAACTCATGTACTCTCTCTTTTCTTACATTACTTTTTTTTTTTTGTTTTTTTCCCTCTTCATTTCCTTTACTTTTTTTTTTCAATGTAATTTTCTCTGTTTTTCTATTAATAGTTGTTACCTTTTATATAAGTAAGAGATTTGTGAAATGAGACTATTAATCACAGGGATGGAAATATAATTTCCAAAACATTAGAGGGTGAGATGTAATTGGACCAAACCTTAGGAGGTGTCAGTGTAATTTACCTTTATTTTATAATTAACCTACTTTTTGGAGAATAAGAAACTAGTAAAATAGGAAATACTAATTGAGAGGGTGATTTATGCTCCGGCGTTGGGCCGAGGTATAAACCGAACAGGTTGGGGGCCCAGCAGAGCAGTGGGCCGAGATGATCGAATAGAACAGGAAAATTGTATTAAATCAAATTAAGAAACTAAAATAAATCCATACTATTCTATACTAAATTAAATATGCCTAATTAAATATTAATTCTAAAATATAAAATAAAAATATATAATATTTTCAAATCTCAAAATCTGCATCATTCTCCTCCACTTGAAAAACCTCATCTTCGAGATAATTTGTTACTCTGGCACTTTATATTTAAGATTGATTTTCTCAAATCTAAATTTTACAAAAACAACCTTCCAAAATTAAAGGAAAATTTTCCTTCAATAAATTTGACCAACTTTCCCAAATGGTAACCACAATCGATCCACCTTGAGTTGATGTGTTTGCCAGCATAAGTTTCACTTCATTGGCAACATCAGCCAACCATGCAATTAAGCATTAAATCAGCAACACGTTTTACCATGGGATCCAACTTTTTTTTGTGTCAAAATCAACTTTTGTTGAGAGCAGGTGATGAACGGCATGGTTTAAGCTGACAGATGGGATAGCAGAGCCACGTGTCAGGAGATGACAGGGAGTGGATATGGGGCACAGAAGGTATTTAAGCCTGTCTGCGCCCCCCATACGCGACACACGAACACTCTGTAAGGAATTTCTTACACTCAAACACCCTCTCCCTCCTCTCTATTCCCTCTAAGGTGTGTGCTAATTTGACCGTCGGAGGGTGTTTCCGGCCACACACCGCCGGGTAGCTCACCGTTAAGCATTAAATCAGCAACACGTTTTACCATGGGATCCAACTTTTTTTTGTGTCAAAATCAACTTTTGGTAAATCTGTCACCACTAATAAGGTTGTTCCCATGCTACTAGTAACAATGGGGTCATTTGCATGCAAAAGACAAACAAACGAAATTGTTGGTTCTTGATCTGTCAAAAGACTTGTGTTACTATGATGCATCGCCTCATACTATAACTCAATTAAATATGGCCTGATTTTCTTCCCATCCTTCACATTTTCTTCAGCCTCTTATTCGGCCTTAGTTAATTCAACATGTTCTTTAATATCATTCTCCTCCAAATACTCATCATGTATTGGAGGTAAATCCCAATCAATGTGTGACTGTAACAAGAAGGCTAGACAGGAAACTGTACCAATGTTGGGAAGGAAATTCACTTGGTGTAACTTTCAACAAGAAGGCTAGACATGTTTTTGCCTAGTCCAGAATGGTTGCAAAAGTTCAATTTCAAATGATGGGGTTTACCAACAAGACTATCTGATCATTGCCCTATTCTGCTCATGGAAGATGAGAGGGATTGGGGTCCAAAGCCTTTCAGATTCTTGAATGCCTGGACCCTTCATCCTTATTTCAAATCCTTTGTGGACAAAATTTGGAAGGAAACTCTTGTAGATGGCTGGGCTGGTTTTCAGTGCTTAAGAAAACTTAAATCCCTTAGAATAGCACTAAAACAATGGAATCAGGAAGTGTTTGGAAATGTGGATTATAATCTCAAGCTCTTGGAGGAGGAATATAGCGATCCTGATTTTCCCTCCATTGGTTACTATATTTCGGACTCGGTTTCGTGGATGTTTGTTGTTGTATATGTTGCATTTTCGTCCTTTAATTCTTTGTATTTGAGTTTTAGGATATGTTGGGCAAATTTGTAACAGGTTGGCTGTAATTCGAAACAAAGTGTTACTGCCCAGTTTTTGGTGTCTTCGCTCGAACAAGGCTTTTGTCGCTCAAGCGAGCTTTGAGTTTGTGTCTCTTGGCTCGAGCGAGCATTTTTGCACTCGAGCATGCATCTGCGTCTAGTTTGGACCTGAAGGTTGTGTTTCTTGGCTCGAGCGAGCGAGTTGTATGTTTTGGGTTTCTTCGCTCGAGCGAGGACTCCTGTGCTCGAGCGTGCTTCTGGGTTGCAGACCTGAAGCTTCATGTTGTTGGCTCGAGCGAGGCTTTCTACGCTCGAGCGAGGTTTATTTGTGTCTGGTCGCTCGAGCGACCAATCCTTTGTTCGAGCGAGGCTCGAATATATCAGATCGCAGCAACAGTCTTCTCTCTCACTTTTTGATCTCCTTTTCTTCTCAAACCCTAGATCGACTCTCTCCCCCTCTACATATACCTTATCTCTAGAAATATACTTGGTTCTTGGGTGTGTCTACTCTAGTCCCTTTGTAAAATGTGTGGAGCTCGGTGTGGGCTACATTTTGGTTCGAAAATCATTGGGTTTGGAGCATCTCGAGTTTTCTTAATTTTCTCCATTGAGTCTCTCCATTTGAGGTAGGGATAACCTACTCCTCTCTATGAGTTTTGACATAAATGTTGGGTATTTTGGATAGATAGTGTTGTTTGGGAATTTTGGGAGAGTTAGGATTTGATTTGAAGTTATAAAAAATGGGGGTTTTCAATTGTTAAACTCCATGTGTATGTGAGACCTTGGAAAATGGAATTATTGTTGTTAAATTGGTGAAATTGAGCCTTAGGGCTGATATTTGAGAAAGGGGAAAAATGCCATAACTATGTTGAATAATTAATTTGGGAAAATATGAAATTGAGTTAGAAATCATGAAATTGGGAAATTATGAGATTGAATGGTGTAGTTGGATAAATAGATCACTCACCTACGAAAATGCTGATATTTTATTTGTTTGATAAATTTATTATCTGTTTATAAATAACTGCTTTGGGCTATCGGTGGAGGATAGTCTTGATTGTTGTAGACACTGTATGTTGATTAGGAAAAATTGAAACTAATCAAATGTGTTATGTTATTGAATATGACGGTTAAATTGTCACATTGAATATGTGCCTAGAATGATCATTGTACATGATAGAGCTTTTAAATACATTGCATATGTATCTTGTTTGGGAGAAGATAGGGGATGTTGTAGACACCCCATTTTCGACCGACCTTAAGGCTCAGACATCACCGATTGAGCGCTCGGTGACGTTGCATATCGTGCTCGTTCAGAAGTCTCAGAGTCGCGGCCGTGAGCCCTGCCTCCAGATTTTCGAACCCTCTTCTGTGCCTTGCCTCGGTTTGCGAACCAGACTCGGTTTTCTCTGTTTCTTTTCCCGAGGGGAGGGAGAGGTCCCGTAGACCATCTCTCAGTGGCCGTGGGCTACATTTTGTGGCTATAGGCCATTTTGCCCGTTTGGAGTCCGGTTTCCGATTTTTCGGGACCGTTGGCCATGAGCCTCGGTTCGGGACCGCCTACCAATCTCCGTTTGCTCTGATTTTCGGCATACTTCTTATTTACTCCCTTTTAAGGGACACTAGGGTCTGAAAGACCCACTTCGGGACCGCCTAACCATCTCCGTCTTCTTGCGTGTCCTCGAAATGCGTGCATACGGGCACGCAAACCGAGGCAATGGCATACGCAATGCAATGGCATGAAAAATGATATGCAAACATGCTAATGGATTTTCAGCAATGAAATGTGGGGGAAAACAGTCCCGAAATGAGGTGAAAACACGCCCGATGCATGGAATCTCTCCCGAAATGCAAAATTAGGCACATAGAATGAACTACAGCTATACAAAGCATGAATAATTGGTACATGGAATGAAAAGACAGAAGCAAGGCAGCCCCAAAATAAGTATTTTTCCAGTTCAAAGCATGGCCAAACAGCAAGCAAAGATAGGGCAACAATGGCATGCAAAAATGGCCCTAAACATGAGATTCTGAAGCAACTCACAGTTGCTAACTCCAACTAGGTTAGGGCCCTTCAACAAAGTTGAAGAGGGGCCCAAAATATGATGTTTTCCAGAACTGTAAAAACCCCAAAAACAAACACAGGTATGGCTGCACTCCCATGCAAGAAAAAGGGCCAAAAGGTGGCCAAAGAGGCAAGTGGTATATGCAAAGCCCAAAATGAAAAATTCCCTTCTACAACATTGAAGAGGGACCAAAAATAAGCATATTTACAGAACTGTAAAAACTCCAAAACAGTATACAAACATGCTAGAAATGCAATGCAAAACGAGGCTCAAAAGTGGCTATAACACAAAGTATGCAAAATATTCATCAAAAAGCCAAAGACCCTTAATGAAACATGAATAATGGGCCAAAATAAGACTATTTTTAGTACTGTAAAAAGGCCAAAAACTGAAGCATAATAGGCTGCCAAAGCATGCAAGAAAATAGCATTCAAGGGAGATATTGAAGCAAGTGCAAGATGGGGGGCTCAAACAGGGTTGAGCCCTTAAGAAAAAGTGAAAAAGAGCTCAAAAGAAGGCCACTTTCAGTTAGGGCCGGAGCTCAAAACAATAAGCATGTATGGCTAAGAAATGTTGCAAAATTAAGCTCAAAAGAGGGGAAATAGGACTTACCTTTGAAGACAAGTCTTGGATGCTTCTTGGCTTGAGTTTGCAGCACCCTTAGGCCTTGGAGAACACCTCCTTGCTGCTGGAAATGGAGTGGTGGTGGTGGAGCTTGGTGGTGTAGAAGAAATGGTGGTGTTGGACTTTGAAGTTTTCAAGGAAATGAGGGAGATGGAGGAGGATTTTGTATACCAAGCTTGAAACAATTTTTTCTAACCCTCAAAATAAGCCTTGCAGCTGGTTATAAGGATCAAAAGGAGAGGGAGTATGGAAGGAAAGGGTGGGGGAAAAAGGACCAAGGTTTTCCTCCACAAAATATCCCCCTGATTGAGATATTTTCTGGGGGAAACAGCTATACAACTGTAAAGTCCCTTTTGAGAGGATCATGGCCGGCCACCTTTTGGACTTGCAGGTGGCCGGCCGGCCACCTCTCCTAGCCGGCCGGCTAGGGGTCAAAAAGGTCAACTTCAATTAGTGGCCGACCACCACAAAAAGGTGGCCTCCCAGGTCCCCTTTTCACAACCCTGTGGTTCGAATTTGGAATTTGTAAAACAAGGGAGAGAATAGACCATTTTAAAGAGGGGTTCAAAAGGGTCAAATGGGATTTCTGGCTGGCCATATCATATTAGGATCCTCCCATGTGTGTACAACACAAATATGTGGTTTGGGGTTGAAGAAAGTGGCCCCAAGGTGTTCAACATTGGCTCGAAAGTGAGAAAAACGGGCGTCGGAAGGCGAAAATGGAATATAACTGGTTGCTAAGATAATTGCTGGCCTCCCACCTTTCAGTGACCTTCCCGGTGATGAAACAGAGGTACCTGCCAAAAATGAACAAAAACCGATGCAAAACGAATGCTCGGGGGCCAAAACACGCAGTTCGGGGTCCCGAAAATGGGCTGTTAAACGCAATGCAATAGGTTTGGCCACGAAGTGGGTTTCTCAGAACCCA